CGCTCCACCCTTGTGGTACTTCGGTATCCGTGCTCTCTGAGCACTTATACCAACTATTCCACATACACCGTTGTTTGTCGATAATTTGGGAAATGGGTTTGAGAAGCCTTGAAAACCCGACATGTGGCGTCGGTGTGTTTGAAAAAACTCGCGATGCGGGGGTTGTGCCTATGTGGTACTGTCCTGTATTCGCATATAAGGACCGATTCCTGTGGGAAATTCATCTGAGCATATAATAAGTGCGACCACACGGGTGCAATGGGACGCCCCTGGCTGAGTAATTAGCTAATCGGGGGAGCCATGATGCCAAGAGACATGTGGATTCAACGGGGTGGTGTCAGGGAGAACCCTCGGGCTTCCTGGCACGGTATGGTCTGGGACCTAACCTGGTGTTGGTCTGGGACCCCTCTCGTTGGCATATGGTAAACCTGTGTCGGCTTTCGAAATGCCTTGTTATGAAAGCCTTAGGGTCTCCCGACGTGGCTAATCTCACGGGCTGGGTGATCCGGGTTAGTAATGTCGTGTGGGTAAAGTGTACCCCCTCTGCAGAGGTTAACTAACTGTTCGAACAGCCGTGCCCGCGGTCATGGGCGGATGTGAGGTGTTTCCTGTAGCGTAGATTTGTTTGCCTGTGCTTTGTGAAAAGTTGTTGTGGTGTGGGAATTGTTACCAGAATCAGCCTATGTGGCAGATGGATGACCTGAGTGGTCAAGAAATGAATCTGTGTGATTCGGGATGTCTACCGGCATCATAGACTAGGCTTCCCGAGTGGAAGCGGATTGTTGTGCTGCTGGGCAGCTAGACTCTGTGAGTCCGAGAAAATGTAAAAGGCTCTGGGAGCCGATTAATCAAGTGGAATGGCTCTAGGAGCCGAGAAGTAATGATCTGACCCGGGAGGTCGGTACATTACCAAATGAGCTGTTGAAAAACATCTCTTAAGGTCGAATCGAGACGCAAGTCTCTTTTCGACCCAAACTTAGAAAGAAATAAATCACTTTGTGATTTCAAAATGATTTCAAAACAAAAGATTTGCAAAAACAACCTTGCCTCTCTTCCAAGCTTGCATTAAACACCTAAATTCCCGTGACTTGCTGAGTATGAAAGTACTCACCCTTGCTCTATATAAATATATGTAGTTCCTCCGCCCGGAAGTTGAAGATGAAGTAAAGTGAAGATTAGGGTTTCGTCCAGGTTCCCAGCCGTCACCTGTGGTGTTGGGTGTTAGTCCGTTGGTTCTGCTGCTGCTGCTGTTGTTGGTGTTTCCTCGTCCACGTCGTCGGTTGCAATCTCGGGCTGTTCTGAGCTGCAACCTAAGTTAAGGTAAATAAGTCCTCTATTTATTTTAAGGATTGCAATGATTCATATTTGTCACCGTGGGTACCAGCGCTATGTCCTGGGACTGGTACTGAGATCGCGGTTTCGTAGGAAGCGGTTCGCGCCGTTTTTCCCACGACACGCTCCTGTCAGGTGCCGTTGTACGGCGGTGCCAGATTGGGGTGTGACAAGCAAGCTATGCTGACGGCGGATTATAGCGACGCTTTCGGATTAAGGCAGAGCAGGGCGGCGGATTCGAGCAGTGGGGTGTGGTGGCGGAATCAAGCGGCTATTCGGGCAGCGAAGGAAGAATCAAGCAGAGAGATGGTGGCACTCGCCTTTACAAGCCAAACGAGCCGAGGGGCAAAATGGTACTTTCAATGTCCTTTCTCTCTCCATCTTGACCTGATATAATAAAATAATACGAGCAGTGTCCAACAGCTAATTACCACATTTTAACGGTGTCCACAAAAAGATACATGTTCTTTGGGTGTCTCACAGCAAATGCTGCAAATTTTCAGTCCTGTAGCAAATTTTGCACTACTACTATAGAGGTAAGAGGTATACTAGTCATCCTAACTGTTGATTATTCATGATTTATTATATTGAATAAAAAAACTATGTGCTCCTTTCATTAATATTTCACATCCCAAATTAAATGCAAAAATTATCATTAAAAAAATTAACGTTGCATGCAAGGGCAACATACCAAAGAGGCACCTAATATTTTGGGGGTCCTACATATTAATGAAAGGGCCTACTCCCTCCGTCCCAAAAAAAGGCAAACCCTGGGTTTCCGTGTCCAACTTTGACTGTCCGTCTTATATGAAATTTTTTTATAATTCGTATTTTCATTGTTGTTAGATGATAAAACATGATTAATATTTTATGCGTGACTTGTCTTTTTAATTTTTTTCATAAATTTTTCAAATAAGACGGACGGTCAAATGTTAGGCACGGAAACCAGGGTTTGTCTTTTTTTGGACGGAGGGAGTACATTGCATGTAAGAGAGAGAGAGAGAGAGATTAGTTGGGAGTCCAGGAGCTTTACAGTGCAGATCTTTTCTTCATCCTTGTTTAAAGCCTTTTTGAAGTCTGCCACGGTATGGATGCCATTATTTTGAGTAAAGTCCATCACCGGTCCCTAAACTTGTACTGTTGTGTCATCACGGTCCCTAAACTCGCAAATCGACCGTTCAGGTCCTCAAATTTGTTCGACTGTGCCATCCCAGTCCCTAAACTTGCAGATCACTCGTTTAGGTCCTCCAACTTGTTCAATTGTGTCACCCGGTCCCTAAACAGGACGGTCTAAAAACTTTATATCAAAAAATAATTTATAACTTTGTCATGCGAACTCTAATGAAGACAAACTTTATATCAAAATTGTAGCCCTCGACACGACCTATAACTTTGTAGTTGAAAAGTTTTTGAATTAAAACTGTTCAGGGTCCCAAAATATTGTTGCATGTTTATAGATTTTGAAATTTTAATTTTAAAATTACATTTTGGGACAAAAAATGACTTAGAATAAAAAAAATTCAACTAAAAAGTTGTAGATCGCGTCGAGGGCTACAAGTTTGATATAAGGTTTGTCTTCATTAGAGTTCACATGAAAAAGTTATGAATTATTTTTAAATATAAAGTCTTTAGACCGTCCTATTTGACCCAGATGATATTCAAATCCAAGTTTAGGGACCGGGGTGACACAACTAAATAAGTTGGAGGACCTAAACGAGTGATATGCAAGTTTAGGGACCGGGATGACACAGTCGAACAAGTTTGAGGATCTGAACGATCAATTTGCGAGTTTAGGGACCGGGATGATACAGCGGTACAAGTTCAGGGACCGGTGATGGACTTTACTCCATTATTTTTAAGCCATTTAGCACGCTCTCCCTTCCCTGAAATTCCCTTTAAACGATGCACTTCATCTTTCAGCTTTGGACAGTTACTCTTTTTGTTTGCTGGACAAAAAGGAAACAAGAGAGATAAATGCCAACAGAACATACAAATCCAGTTGATTCGAGTATGCAACCTGTAATTTCAAAGATAATCCTACGAAGGAAGACTTTTTATATAGTCATTGGCACTTGGGAGGTACCGAGAAACAATGTGGAGAATACTTGCAAAATAGAAACATCAGGCAAACAATCTACTGAATACACCAGCTGCAATTCTGAAGAAAAACTTACATTTGTTTCGATTAACCTGCACCTCAACAGGCTGATTCATCACGGCTTCCTTAATCTGAAGCCCAGCTTTGTCACTGCTAAGAACCCTTGCTGCCAGAATGAGCTTTTTACTTCCAGTCTTCGAAGATGGCATATTGAAAGAGACGTCAGATAGGGAGGCCTCCCCATTCTTAAGCTTCACTCGAAGAACACCTCCTAACACCGCCCCTTTTGAACTACTTACTATGTGGGCGTCAAACTCACATGCAGTCCAGTTATCAGGGGCAGCATCATAAAACTTATCATGAAGAACCAAAATTTCAATTCTTAATCCACTAAGACTCTCGCGTCGTCCTCCCCTGGGGCGGCACGGGAGGCGACGACCCGGCCGCCCCTCTCCCTCCCCTCCTTCCCCTCCGCCTCGCCGCCGCTCGAGCGGCCGCCGGCAAAGCCGGCCGGCCGCAAGGACGGCGGCGGCGGGGCCCCTCGCCGACCTTTCACCGGGCGGGCAGGGGAGCCGCCAGGCGGGACGGCGGTGACCGCCAGATCCAGGCCGCTCCGGCCGGATCTGGCGGGGCGGCGACTGGCGGCGGGGAGGACGGCGGCCACGGCGGCGGGGATGGCGACGGCGAAGGCAGGGGCGCGCGGCGCCGGGCGGCGGCGGGGATGGCGATGGTAGCGGGGAAGGAACCGGCCGCGGGCACGAAGATGGTGGTGGTGGTCCCGTGTGAGCTTGTGGTGGCGACGGCGCGGTGCTCCTCGGCGGCGGCGGCGGCGGTGTCCCCCAGATCCGCGCCTCTCGGCCGGATCTGGAGGGTGGCCGGCGGCAGTTGGCGGCGGCTGTGCGGCGACGACGGCGGCGGTGCGGCGGCGGTGCGGCGACGGCAGCAGCGGCAGTTGGCGACGGCGACGGCGGTCGCGGTAGTTGGCAGCTGCGGTGTCGGCTGGCGATGGCGGCAGTGGCACACATGGCATCGGGCGGCAGCCAGCCGTATGCTGGTGAAGGGTGACGGCACAGCGGCAGGTTGCGGATGCGGGGGCTGGAGTCGGTGGCAGCGGCGACGGCGGCTGTTTGTGGAGGCGGTGGTGACATCAGCGGCGAGGCGAGGATGGCGACGGCGAGGTAGCTGGGCGTTAGGCAGCAGCGGCTGCAGTGGTGGTGACCGTGTCTACAGTCACTGGAGGCATGGCGGCCTCAAACGGCTAGCTGAGGGCGTGGGAGGCGACTACATCTGGCCGGCGCGGCATCGTTTGGTGGAGGGGTCGGAGACCGGCTTGGCGCAGAGAAGCGCAGCCGATGACAGCGGAGGCCGGCTCGGCGCGAGAGGCGCGGGCGGCGGAGATGGAGGCCGGCTTGGCGCGGGAGGTGCGGCCGATGGAGGGAGACCGGATTGGCGCGAGGCGCGTCCGGTGGAGGAGGCCGGCTTGGCGCAGAGTGGCGCGGCCGGCGGTGGAGGAGGCGACCTAGGGGTGAGGAGGAGCTGCCGGTGGGTGTGGCGCGGTCTTCAGCGCTCGAAGACTGGCCGGCGGGGGACGCCGGTGCAGGGGTCCCACATGTCGGCAAAGCTTGTGTGGTGGTGGAGCATCGGTGCGTCAGGCGTGGTTTCGCAAGTGGCGAGCGGCGGGTGAAAACCCAGTCCGGCCTTGGTCGGACCGACAACGATGGTTATCCCCCCTCCTGAGAGCGTTGTCGTGCTGTCTCACCCCTCTGGTGACCTTGTCTGTGTCCCTTTGTTGGCCTAGTGGCGGTCGGTCACGCTTAGCGGCGGCCGGTCCAGTGTTAGCCTTCTCCTGGGCTTGTGTGATGGCGTTGTCGCCGTGTGGGTGGTGGTTTATTTTTTCCTTTTTCCTGGTTACGACTCTCCAGGGTTGTAACCTTGTAATTTTTTCCTGCTCTATCAATAGAACTTCGCACCGTCTCGTGCGAGTCGTTCAAAAAAAAAATTTCAATTCTTGCTGAAGAAAGTTGGCCGGCAGTAACTATCTTATTATCCCTAAATATGGCAATTTTGATAGCTGTACCATCCTCTGCTGTAATTTTGTCATTTGTATAAACAAGATGGTCTTTCAGCTTATTGAGGAACCTCAACTCAACTCCTTGATCCTCGTGAACTTCATTTGCGGCAAATCTGAGAGCTGTTTGTTCTTGATTCACTTCCTCAGTGACAGCAGCATTCTCTTGATTTACCTCTGATCTACAATACAGACATAAATAGTATGAAACACCATTGTGTATTAACTATAGTCTCATACTAACATCTGGCAGTACTTTAAATTGTCTGAAATTCACAACTGTAATACACAACATCATGAAACGAACATCACTATAAATATATAGTGCCATCAATACACAGTTGACAGTAATTCAGAAGTCACTTCAAGTGATTGATAAGAACTGATCAGCACAATAGGAAGAACCTAAGTGTGTGTGAGACATTGATATGTAAGATTGCATACTGGAAATAACAGAAGTCAGAGATGCATATTCTCAATAGTTACAAAGACCATACCTGTAGCGCTCATTAGCATCACGGTTAGAAATTAACTTTTTTATTTGTCCCTGCAAGTTTGTCTCAGGCAAACATTTTTTTTTCATCATAATAAAATGTAAGCAAACACTTTGCAGTTTTAATTTTACTCGACCAAGTAACTTCCTGATAAAACACAATAAAAGAAGCTCTCTCATCAGAAAGGGGTTAATTAAACTAGTATAAAGTAGTGTCCTTGTAATAAAGTATCCGAAATCTAACCACTTCATGGCTGACAGTATCAATTCGCTCAGAAAGAGTCCCAGTCTGCTTGGTAAGGTGTTGAAGAGAGCTGCAATCAAAGAAGTGGAAGAAAAAAGGCTAGTTTATTTTTTATTAAAAAATCATATTTCTAGGACATAGAGAAAGATATAAGATATTGATTAATACATAAAACTGGACAATTTAAGATCAATGCAATAAGTGTGATTTAATTTCGTAGCATCTGCATAGATCAGATTTGTTGCATGTGTTATATCAGCATTAAAGTTTGATCAGCTTGACAGTTAACATAAAAACATCATAGAGGAACTGTAAATGATGAAATCATTAGTTGTCCAAACAAGTATTTTAGAGGTATTAAACAGGGAATTTACACGTTCGATGCTTACTAAAAAAACTGCAAATGAGCAATCTCAACAAAAAAAAAAAAGGATTTATCTAAGCAACTAGCTAGAGAGGTAAATTTGTGGTCCTACTCCTATTTGACCACTCTGCTAGTTCAAGGATCGATTTTATAACTTCTTCAACTCCAATTCTACTTTCACCCCGACTGAGAGATCTTACCAATAGATAGGATTAAGATGTTTCTGAAGGGCATTATCAAATGCTTTCATAATGCCTCTCTGAAAGGCATCATCCTCGGGTGCCTTTCTCTGTGAAGTAGAACTCTCTTCATGTATCTACACAATTAATCACAGGACACTGAAATGAACTACCAAAAGAGTAGCAAAAATGATGGGAGAAAAGATTTAGTTTGATTCAGTTCCAGAACGAGAGATCGATGCAGAGCTGCTCACCGCCACTCGAGCAGGGCGCGCGTTGTTCTTGTTCTTGTTCCTCCGCTCTTCCTTCCTGCGCATCCGCAAAGCACGCGGGTGATCAGACAACGAGCTTCCCACGGAGGAATTAAATCAAACAGGAGGCGTGCGAGCCGGCGTGCGTACACTTGCGCGGCGGACACGAAGAAGAGCACGAGCATGCCCCGCCGGAGCTGCCGCTTCACCGGAGACGACGTCGGCGCCTGTTGCGCGAACGCCTCGGCGCCGCTCCGGAACGCGTCGATCTGCAGGCGCTTCGGCGGCGGCGCGCCGTGCGCCGGTGCCGGCGGCGGCGCACGTTTCGGGTTCATGCCGTCGGCTCGTCGCTCGCCGGCCGCGCGCGCCACCTGAAACCGGGATGGATGGATGGATGGATGGATTGTCGCCGATGCCGCAGAGCTCTCGTTACTCCTCCCCGACGACGGTAGGTAGCTTCGTCGTCGCTTCTCCGGTCGTCGTCGAGCGCTCGCTGTGCCGCCCCGGCCCCTCCACTCCACTTCGACGACGAGCTTTTATGGTGGTCGTGTCGTCGAGCGGCGAGTGGAGTGGACTCGGCCGAGCACGAAGTCTTGCTCACGCGGTTAGTGAGAAAAATAAACTGGAACATGCATGGATTTGGATTTGGATTATTACAAGAGCAAGCAGATACAATAACAAGCTATAGCTAGCTATAAACATATACATATGTCCAGTAGATAAAATAGGAGATAGAGAAGCAACGGGCTATATATTTGTAGCCAGCTGTAGCACGGACTTCAAGATATAATGTGTGTATGGCAGGTGAGGAACATGTATTAATAGTGTAGTATATGTTTATAGATATCTGATGTATGAATTGACTATAAATGATTTAGAGCAAGTAATTAGCTATACTATTAAACTTGCTCAAGTGAATTAACGCACACTCAATTGTTTCTCACTTCCTAAATACTCTCTCCACGTATTGTAAGTCGTTTTTACTTTTTTTTCCTAGTCATTATTTTTTAGTTTGAATATTTTACTATATTTGTATATAAGATTTGGCCAAACCTAAAATAACTTAACTAGAAAATAAGTCAAAATAACTTATAATATGAAATGTCACAAACTATGAAAGGAATTCAAATCTTGCAAAATTTCAAGTCCAGAATCAATCTACACAGCATCAAGAAAAGAAACACAGAGACAAATCTGGTCATAAAAGGGTGTTTACACTAATTTCCAGCCAAATTTTGTTTTAAATTATGTAAATTAAAGTTAATATCACATAACTTTACATATAAAGTCACATTTTTCATAAAATTTCATGATCATGCATGATTCATGCAAATGATATGCAAGAGATGAGTGCATGTGTATCTAGGTTGTAAATTGACATCCCCCAGTAACATCTATTCCTTCGTTCAATTACTAGATCAATATTTTACAATTTAATACATCCGTCCCCCAAAATCTCATTTTGGCTATTTATCTCTTTGTTCTTTAGGATGAAACAGCTAACTTTGAACTTGAAATTAAATAATTGCACTTTGATAGATTAGAAACTGTACAAATATAATTAAAGGTACATGCGCATTATCACCTGTCCATCCGAACGCAGCCATATACATTATTATATGCAAGTTTTGGTGACTGAATGACAAGAGAGCAAACAGCAAATAAAAGTGAAAAACGAGAACCTTCGTACGTAACCACATATCCTTTGGAAACGCATGGTTTGCAGTAGATTTCCCCCAAAATTAAACGGGCTCCACAAAGTCGTATGCCAGAAAAGCTCCGGAAAATTCAGGCAATAGTCCCGGCCTGTTCTCCTCGCCGGTTGGTTGCTAGAATTCCCTCTTGCTTCTTGCATTTGCCAAGTTCAATTAAAATGTCTTGGCATCACCTCCCAAATTCAACGGACAGAAATCAACTGGCTGAAACCGCGTGGATTTGGACCCCAGTATAAATCCAGGCTGCATTTGATTTAAACACTACTTTACAGTGCCAGAGTTCATGAAGGTGCCTATGCATCAGAAATATTTATATAGTACTATTTGTTTGCCAAAGCATGCAGGTGCAGCCGTGCAGGAGGTAGACTTCAATAATTGTTCACTCATGTGTTGGTTTTGCTTTGATGTGGCCGAATTGTTTTGCTAACTTTGAGAGAATTTTGTAATAAGTGGTTGTATTTTTTTTAGAGTAAAGTCTGGGATTTATTTTTATTATTTTAAAAAATGCAGGTGCAGCAGGTCTCGGTTGATTTGTGGTGCTTGACCTGAAAGTGTGGCCCAACAAAGGTCAACGGGAGTTCTTGAATGGGCTGTACATATCAAGGCCCATTATGCCAACTGCTACAGTACCGTCTGATGTAACTCAATAAGTCAAACAGTAGTCAACACAGCTCTGCAGAAATCGCAGTTTTGACAAATCGCAAATACTTCTGCAGCAGTCTCGTTATTTAGGTACACTTGATGACTTGAGCAATGAGCGTAACACACATGATGCTGCAACACTGAGGCAGTTTGCAGGCTTCAGCGACCTGAAATTTCTCTAGCACACTGAACACCCCATGCTGCAATGTGTGTTATCATTGTAGGAGTACGTTTTAGTAGTAGTAAGCTGGTAGTTTTGGTTCTGGTAAGATTACACTGTCGCAGCTCAGCATCAGAAGAACATCCCACATGCTTGGCCGCTCCTCGGGACTCTGCTGAACGCACAGCAGCGCTATCTGAACCCATCTCTTTATCTCAGAAGCATGATTCTCATCGTGCAGCGACGGATCGATCAATTCCATCAGGTTTCCGTCTTTCCACAAGTTCCACGCCTGAGTAGAAAAAATGCTACTGGTTAATCAGTGATCAACTCTGAATAATGTGTCAGGCTTGCATACCCTTCAAGTCCTCTTCAGGAGTAGCACTCGGAAAGGTTCACGTACCCACTTATTTAGAGGCCCGTAGTTGTGAGATTCATCAGAAAGCGCCAGTGAAGATGGAGAGATGTGTTTTCCTCTAATGATCTGAAGAAGCGTAGCGCCAAAGCTATACACATCTGTCTGGAGAGAGAGACAGCCTCCCTGTTTATATTCAGGGGCCATAAACCCACTGAAAAAGATGAAAAATTAATCAATCACAACTAAAAGCAGATCAAACGGGGTTAAATATTAGAGTATTTTAAGGTCCTAGACGATGTACTACATTTTTTTCTAGTGAATTTTGCCTTTTGGTAACACCTCAGTATTAATGTACAAAGAAGGACCACAAATTAACACTAAAACCTATGGCACCTACTCGAGGACTGTAAAACCACTCCAAAGTATAACCATTGAAGATTGTGCTGTACAAAACCGCCTTACCGTGAGCCCACCACGACGCCAGTGCAGTCTTTATCCGCATCTGCCTTAAGTGCTTTTGAAATGCCGAAGTCACAAATCTTCGGTTTCAGAGAAGCATCCAGGAGTATGTTGCCTGGTTTCAAATCCCCGTGAATAATACGTGGTTCGCATAGCTTGTGTAGATATACAGCTCCCTGAGCTATCCCTCTAACTATTTGGGAGCGCTTAGGCCAATCCAATGGTTCTTTTGTTGCTCGTTCACCTGTAAATGCGAGAAGCAAATATGGATATAAGTGAATATGAATAGGAGGGTAGTACATCAATATCAACAGGATAATTTGGTCTCAAAACTGAGATTGATAGTGCTAATTGAACTGAACCCTACCAGTTATGAATGAATCCAAGCTTCTGTTAGGCATATATTCGAAGACCAGTATCCTCTCCCTCTTTCTCGTGCAATATCCTAGAAGTTTAACTATATTTGTATGCTGGAGCTTTGGGATTAGATCAAGCTCATTCTCAAGCTGGTGAAATGGAATTTTGTCAACATATGATGCTCTTTTCACGGCAACTTCAAGTCCTTCATTTAGTCGCCCCTAGGAGTAAACGCCAAATACAAGTCAATAATGGTAAAATTCATCATAGAAAGAGAATCTAATATCTTAGTACAAGAGAAGATGTTTCAAACAACTTCGCTAAATCATTTTGCTGAATGCAGAAGCCAGCAAAGAGCAAAGCATATGCAAATCCTTACCTGGTAAACAATGCTGAAAGCACCTACACCGATTTGGTTTTCCAGAGAGAAGTTGTCTGTAGCAACCTCCAATTGAGAGAAAGCGAACCTTTTAAGGCCTGTCATTTAGACAAACATGTATCATTTAGTATTTGGAAACTTCCCTTGGCATTACAAATGGAATTGCCGAATTGGAAACGCAGTCATGATTTTACACTACTAAGTTTTGGATTATTGATCATTCATCATTACCTATTTCTTTTTGGGCAACAAGCATGCCACTATTGGAAGAGGTAGCAATGCTCTTCCAGGGATGCCACCAACAGCATCTTGATAACTTCTTTTCTGCTGATGTTTCTTCAACAATATTATGTAGGACTGTAGAAAACGGTGATTCAAGTTTACTGTGCTAAATGCATCAATATTTTAAGAACATAGAATAGCACTCAAGAAAAGAAAGTTTTTTGTTCATTTAGCCTGTTTTCGTTTGTGAAAATAACCCTTGCTGGGAAATTTTGCAGAAATATATGAATTCATATGAAATAGGATTACCAGAAACCGAGGTTTATTTCTTCGTTTTTTCCCATGGAGGATAATTTTAGGATCATGACAAAAAAAGGGCAAATGAAAATTATAGAAATCAAGAAAAGCACCTACAGGTACTTATCCATGATATGTAGATTGGCCCATAAAAATGAAGTACCTGGCTCGTTAACAGAGGAAGGCTCTGTTACCAGTTGAGCTTTCCCTGAAATACCCAGTGTTTCTCCCCTATCATTGCTGCATGCATTGGGGGGAAAAAAAACTAAAAAAAAAATAAAATTCAAATATAATAGCATAATTAACTTTTGAGATTTTTTCAAAAATGTACATCCATAACCTAATATCAAGCCATTAGATACACATACATACTGTGATCAGTATCTCACCGGTCATTATATTTGAAGTGTTGAGCAGGCAACCCTAGAGCAGGTACTTGTACGCCATCCTGAAATAACAACTTAAGTTAGGCTCAACCGATTAAGCAGGCATTTATCAGAACACATACACTTCCTCTCATATTGTTGGAACAAACTTCAGAATCACAAAACGGATAGATTGTTTGAATTATCCTATTTTAGGCATTTGGCAGTTGCACGTTAGAGTGTATTTTTAGGGAATGCACAAAAGATTTGTGTTGCACAGTACACTGTAATTTAGCAAATGAAGCTCGATCTTAGCTGTTGTAGACTTGAAGTAACAGTGTAGCATGGATGTACCTGCAGCTGAACAACATCTGGAGTCTGCTGGACCAGAAAGTAACGTGTGGTTTGATCACCATTGATGATGGGTAACACAAAATTTCAGAGCCTTGAGCACCTTGCGCAACTCTTTGGCGGTATGGTCGCTCTTGCAGAAGCGGTACGTGCAGCTCCTCTCCCGACAGAATTCGATGACCTCGCATGCCCTACGAAGAGTTGACCTGAGCCTCTCTGTTGGTTTCCACATGTCAGGGTCCTCTATGACCTTGGATTTCTGCAACCGACCGAGCAGATCAAGGATCAATTCCGCACGTTCGGCGAGCAGCTCACAGTCCTCCTTGTTCTGGCTCACTGTCTGGACACGCTCCTTGATTTCCTTTACCAGACTGGCCACGTCCAGGCCAGCCAGCTGCGCTACATTCGCAGCAAACCCCAGGCAGCAACACACCTCTATAATCATATCTGATTGATTCCCTGCATGCCATGACATGTGTAGACAGAGGAAGGTGCATGTCAGAACAGAACTTGTAAATCCTTTCTAAACAAGAACATGTACATATATGCAGCACAATATATACTAAATGATCATATGGATCAGAAAGAAAACTCAAGCATGCATGCCATTAAATAATTAGCAGGAGATAGCTAGCTTCTTAATTTCACTTTTCCCCCAACTCTAGCTTACTTTGACAGACCTTCAAATCAGCTTGCGCAGTCAGGAATTCAGCAAGGATGAGGAGATATCTGATGATGCACCTTACCCCAGCCTACTCCGGTTGCAGCATTATATATATGAGGTGAAAGAGGAAGGGCCTAAAATACAAACACCTGGGCATCAAGACTATCAAGGTCCAGGTCTTGTTGTAAAACAGAGAGCACTTGAGTGAATTAACTGGTGGATTCTTTTAAATAGTTTTGGAGCCAATCCATCCAAACTACCTGCTCAATCATCACGATTCGCGACAAGACAATTATATATATGAGGTGGTGATGAATAAGAAACCAATAAAATCTTGCCATCAAGACTATTCAGGTCCAGGCCCCCATTGTCTTTTTCTTACTTTTTTTTTTAAACGATATCTTACTTTTCAAAAAGAAAGAAAAAGTAGCAGAAACAAGAAGATTGAAAATGAAGTAAGAAAGTAGCTAAATCCAATTTTTAACTGATGCCAACAATGCGCCCACTAATTAATGTCTTCCACTCCTCCTAGCTCATACTTCAACTATTTAAGTGCTTAAAACGTGATGCTTCTGCATAGTACTCCTATATAGCAAATCTCCGTGAGAGGGGCTGCCTTTCGGGAGACACGTAGCTTTAACTTCATGGACAAGATTCCATGTTCATGCATTTGAGGGAAGGAGTTACCTCATCAAAGAGTACTACAACAGCCGCTTCTGATTCACTTTTAGGGCATCCACAATGTGAGCCACTCCTAGAGTGTTCTCACTAACTGAGGCACTCTAGGGAAACTCAGCTCGCAATGGAGGATACCCTTGGATGGGCTCCTCAAAATCTAAAGCAACTTAATAGAGACACTCCAACCCACAATGAGTATCCCAGCCCACAAAACCCCATATTTATTTTTACTAAACTACCCCCTAATCTCTCTCTCTCCCGCGGTCCTGCCCCCTCACTCTTTCTTTCGCCGCCTTGGCTCCTCCACAAAGGCGACGCCGGTCGTGTCGAGCGCGAGGCGTGTCGCCGGCGGTTCCCGCCGCCGCGGCCTTCCCCCTCGCCCTCCCCAGCCGCCGCGGCGCCTCCCTCCTCACCCCCTCTAGCAGCTGCCTTCCTCCTCCCTCCGCCAGCCGCGTCCCGCCGTCGTCACCGAAGTGGTTCCAGCGTCGGTTCCAGTGTCGGCGGCAGCTGGAGGAGGCAGATCCGGCTGCGAGGCGGGCAGATATGGTGAGCTGGCGTGGTGGCGTCGAGGTGGCAGACGCGGAAGCCGAGCCCGTCGCCGGCTGGTGGTCATCGCCAGTCCTCGTCGTCGTCTCCGTCGCGGAAGCCGAGCCCGTCGCCAGCTGGTGGCCGGATCTGGTCGTCACCGTCGTGGATCCTCGTCGCCGTCGCCTCTCTCTCTTCTCTCTCTCTCGTCGCCATGCCGCCGGTGAGGGGCAAGAAGGGGAAACACCAGGAGAGAAGGTAGGGATGGGGCACCGGGTCGCCGCAACACGTAGCTTCAAGGGAGTGTCTCTGGAAAAAGCGAGCTGGGGAGCTAGAGGGGTTCCCCGCGTGGGGGTCGCGCCTCCCTCCAGAGACACGCTGCGCGGACGGACGGCGGACGGTGTGAGCGGGGGGACGACCCAGGGACACCGATTGTGGATGGCCTTAGGCTCAGCATCTTGAACTGCTAAAATTTCGGTGATAAGGAGAACTCAGTATCCCGATATTGTTGAGACAAAAATCCAGTGAAATGACCTTGTTGACTGCAATCGTGCGGCATCAGCAAACTTGTAAAACGCCAGTACTCTGATCCCAACACATCCAAAACAAGAACTGTCTGCCTGTGCTGTCTGCCGCATTTGCACGAACACCTTCTGCTCGTGTCCCATATGCACACGGAAAAGGCGATGGGCCAGATCCTTTTTCTGCAAAAAGAACATCCACATCCTTGCTTCGCGGGGAAGAGACCGCGCGCTTACGGACAATTCCACGAACGCCTCGTGCTGACGAGGGGTAGACACCGTCACCGCACCACCAGGGCGATCGGCTCCTCCCTGCCGCCTCCGCCTCGCCGCCGCGCCCGAAAGACCTGCGCCATGGCTGGTTGGTAGTAGGAGACCCGAGGCCAAAGCCTGGCGGCGGCGGCGGCGGCCGGCTGGAACGCTCGCCGAGTCTCACCGACGCGATCGAGGAGGTGAAGCGGACAAGCGGTGCTTCGGGTTCAGCTACGACGAGAGAAAGAAGCCCAGTAGCCCACACAAAGTTAACGTGCTAGAGGAGCAAATCCGTTACCAAACATGAATACCACCAGGCCCAACAACGTGGACATATCTTTTTTGCAGAGAAGGGTATTTTTTTTCCCAGACTCAATATTCAATCGGATATGTACAGCCATTTTAAATTAGGAACTTAACTTATCAAACAGGGAACTTAGCCCTCAAATAACCCAATCTAAAATTCGCTCCTATGAAGATTTGAACTCAGGACCTTGGGGTGCTACTCAGGTCACTTCTGCAAGCAGTAGGCTACATGCCCTTTTAGGACACGGACATATCTAGAAGCACATCTAACAGCCAGAAAAAAAAAGAATCGAACGGTCAGATAAAACATGAAGCAAATCCAACGGTCAGAAGAAGATGTTTACCACATTGTTAATTTTCATTGTTACCTTTCAACACAATTGGTAGTGTTTACGACATTGCAGAAGTTGAGTTTCAATTTTTTTTTCGTGAATTGGTAGTGCTTCTTTCCATTGTTACTATAAACAACAATATAAGATTATGTACTCCATTGGATATGTTGCGATGCCGTGAACATGCACGCTAACTAGTAAATAATAGTACTAGAAGGAGTTCTGAAACCGTAGTGTGATACAACAGTTGAATTATGTAACATAACAGTCGATGTTTTTTTTTCTGAAACATAAGTACTAGTACAGTTCAATTTTCTGCATCAACAAATGCTAATACATACAGCAAGAATATTTCTTGAAAGTAATACATCCATCAAGAATAAAACAATAAAATATCCATTATCTAAATAAAGAATGAAATTAATCAGAAATCATGATAGATTACTAGCTGGCAACAAAGCCTTCAGTTAAACTGGTCCTGGATATGCAGAGCTATGAGGCCTCTCATTCTGGTTCTCATTGTCCGGAAAGATGTATGCATAACAGTCAAACATGTCCATAGAGCCGTCACCAATAACATTCTGCGGTACATTTGCTGGTCCGATCATGTTGTTGCCTCCATAAGAGGTACCCTGAAGAAAGAATGACCCGTTAGCATTCAAGGAGTGTGGAACAACACAAAGATACTCGATACTATGATCTGAACAATCAGAGGCAGTCTTGTTTTCATGGCGTACATACAATTTGTTAACTGTTGTTAAAGCTGCATGTCACAATCTTGAGTCAACGGTTATGCAGTTTTTCACTAACTTCGGATAGAGATTCACAAATAGAATTCATAGTCTTGTGATTCTTTCTTGTGTTGCATTTAGTAGTTTGTGTGTGCTCTTGTTTTATTAGACCAGTGTTTTTATGAATTGTTGAGGTGCGTTTGTGTTTGCTTGAATTGGAGTAATAATTGGCTGTAGCTCTTTGAGCAAAGACCTAGATTTTATTCCATTATCTAAAAAATAATAACAAAAAAAATTGTGGGTAAAACTTTTACATATGTATTCTTACCGATTTAAAAGCTAATGGTAGAAAAACTATGATGAAAGAGGTAAAAAAATAGGTTTTAAAATTCAAATTTTAACAGGGGCTTATAAGTTCATCCGTGTTCTTACAAACTGAGCCAACGGAAAAGAAACTCCACTTACTTCAGGTGCCTGTGTAGTATAACACTGCATATCAGCAATGCCAAATTGCGCATAGTCATGGTCCATCTGAGTCAGAGCACCTGCTTGATTACTTTAGTTCCAACACAAAAGTATTCCTCAAAACAAAACCAGCAGAAGCAGAAAAAAAAAAGCAGAACCAACCTTGAAAGCCATGTAAAAAGTGTTGTCCAAAATCATTATTGTTGTTAGGAAATGCTTGAGGCAGTTCATGTGCATGATAAATCTCAGCTCCTGCAATACCCTGAACTGTCAAATCCAAATAAACAAATCGTCAGTAGTTGAGTCTGATGAAAGACAAGAGAACAAAACCAATGTCTTACCTTGAAATGTAACATGCAAATCTGGAGGATTTTGTGCTGTGTCAATGAAGGGAATGTAAGCATCATCACTGAGCGTCATCACCGGATAGTTATTTTTCATTTCGTGATCAAAGCCAATGCTATCCAGCTCATCATATGCTTGTTTCTTCAAACGATTCACTGCATCCTGAGAAAACAAAAAAGAAGTGTAATCTTCTAAGTTCTCATCAAAGGTTTGCATCTGTAGAAGAATGCCAATATCAACGCATACCTGTTGATCTGAACTGAAATTGTCCTTTGCAACATAGTGATCACGAAATTTCGCACCAACGAGGTCATGCACGCAGTTAAAGAAGAGTACAACATGCTGCTCTTCAGCTCTATATAATTTCAGCTTGCAATTCCCTTCAAGATCACACTCTTTAGCATGTTTAATTGTATCTTTCCAAAGCTTATTATCCTTCTTTAGCTTGAAACACTCCTGAACTCCAAGGAATGCGTATGTTATAGTTCGTTTGTCAAAAATAATATTTTACTTACGGAGTTGCTAGAAATATGGCGCCATATGCTACAGTCGATTTTTTTTCAGCCACTTACACAGTAGTTACACCTCATTTACACCCCACTTACATATGTAATTAGTATGTAATTTTCGAATTTACATATGTAATTTTAGTACTTACATATGTAATTTTGAGACTTACATTGTAAATACACTAAAATTACATATGTAATTTAGAGACTTACAATGTAAATACATGCCGACTATTTTTTGATGAAAAATATGGCGCCATAAATATAGCTACACCCTTTTACTTATGCTTGTACTGTTTCATGGCATTGAAAGGTAAATTTGCTCTGATATACGAAGAAATGAATAATAGGCTCTAATTAACATAAACACAGAATTTCTGTATGGATTTAATTCGTGCACATATGAGAGAGAATTGGAATCCCAGAGGCCTTACATTGCGGATCTTTTCTTCATCCTTATTTAAAGCCTTTACGAACTCTTCCACAGTGTTGATTTGATTATCTTTAAGCCATTTGGTGCGGCATCCCTTTCCTGAAATTCCCTTTAAACGATGTACTTCATCTTTTAGCTTCGGACGGTCACTACTTCTATTTACTGGGGAAAAGCAAACAAAGTAAATGACAATAGATCATATCGTGAAGATTATGCAATATGTAATTTCAAAGTAAATCCAATGAAAGAATAGATTTTGTACGGTCACTAGGAGGTATTAACAGGCCATGTGGAGAATACTTACATAATAATAATAGATTAAACCGGCCTCTACATCAAAAATGAATGTACACTACAAAACTTACATAATAAATACATGATGCAAACTATATGTATTTTTTCCCTCTTTTTATTTTTTTTTGGGGGGGAGGGGGGAGGGGGGCTTATGCCCTGTGACAGTATAATGTTGTTTTGTAGCTGGCACATTTCTCTCTTCTTAATACAATTTGGTTGGTCGATTTTTCAGCTAACCCGACCAAAAAAAATGATGCAAACTACAGAATAACCAGCTTGCAATTCTGAAGGAAAACTTACGTTTGTTTCGGTAAACCTGCACCACAACAGGATTCATCATCACAGCTTCCTTAATTCGAAGCCCACCAATGTCACTTGTATGAACTTTTGCTGCTAGAATGAGCCTTCCACTTTCAGTCTTCGAAGATGGTATATTGAAAAATACATCAGAAGGAGAGGCCTCCCCATTCTTCAGCTTGACTTGACAAACCCCTCCTAACGCGGGACCTTGTGAACTACTTACTATGCGGTGATCAAACTCAGATTCGGTCCAATTATCAGGGACAACATCATAAAAGTTACCATGGAGAGCCAAAATTTCAATTCTTGCAGAAGAAAGTGGACCAGATGTAATTATCTGATTATCCCTAACTATGGCAATTTTGATAGCTGTACCATCCTCCGCTGTAATTTTTTCCTTTGTAAAAACAAGAGGGTTCAACTTATTGAGGAACCTCAACTCAACTCTTTGCCCCTCCTGAGCTTCACTCGCGACAAATCTAGCAGCTGTTTGTTCTTGATTCACTTCCTCAGTGATGGCAGCAGACTCTTGATTTGCCTTTGATCTACAATGCATACACAAATAGTATGAAACCCCTTCTCTATCAACATATAGGAGGAAAAGCTTTTTCTCTCTTTTAAAAAAAGTATGAAACACCCCTGTGTATTAATTCTAGTGTCATTTGAACATCTGACAGTACTTCCGATTTTCCAAAAATCACAACTTTAGTACATCACAAGTCACAGACTCACAACAGCATGAAAAGAACATCATAAAGTTGTTTAGGCAAGCCCCATAAATAGATAGTGTACCATGGATACATGGTAGTTCACAAGTCATTTGAAGTGATTGATAAGAACTGGTTGCCGAAAAAAGAAAAACAATATGAAGAACCAGTGAAACATTGGTACTAGAAATAATAGAAGTCATCTATGCATATTTTTGATAATTTCAAATATCATACCTGTATTGCTGATTAGCATGATGGTTAGAATTTGAATGTTTGATTTGTTCCTGCACGTTGGGTGAAGAATCATTATGAGCTAAGAATTGAAGTTTGTCAGGCAAACACCTTTTGTTTTTTTTAGAAAAAATAAATAGGATAAAACTTTTTAGTTTGAGTTGCATTCAACCAAGTAGCTTCTTGCAATGAAACTCGATAAAAGGGACTCCCTTATCAGAAAAGGGTTTGAAGTGTTGAACTGTAAAGAAGCAGTGGAACATTTGAAATCTAACCACTTCATGGCTGAGAATATCAGTGCGCTTGTTAAGGGATTGAAGGGAGCTGCAGCCAAAGAAGTGGAAGGAAAAGGGTTAGTTTAAATCCAAAGAAGTGGAAAAAAAGGTTAGTTTAAATAGATAACGAACTTCATCATTCTCTTACAAATAGAAAGATAAGATACCGGTGAACACGCAAAATTGGAGACTTCAAGATTAATGGAATAAGTTTGATTCAATTTACTATATTTCATAGCACCTTCGTAGTTCATATTTCTCTCATGTATGGTCTAACAACATGAATATTTCATCTTCTCAACGTTAACATAACAACATAGAAGAGCTATAAATGATCAAATTAGTAGTTGCCCATGTTTGGAGCAATTTGTCTGATTTAGAGGTATCCCTCTAGTCATAAATATTTAATATTTAAGACATGATTTGATCAAATTTCTAAATGTAACCATTAACTACTTCTCAAGTGTTCATTTTAAAAACAAGAGAATGATGGTCAAGAGTATGCATAGATTCGTCTTGAAAAGTACCATCGTAATATCATAAAATTTATTGAATTTTTTAAACATATTCTAATATAAATATGATGGTTAAAGCTCCAAAAGTTTGACCGAATTAATCTTGTCTTAAACGCTTTTTTTTACCGGAAGGAGTATTAAGCATGAAATTTTTAAGGAGTGTAATTAAACAGGAAATTTGCATACCTACTAGAAAAAAAAAGTTACAAGACAACGGAGTATCATAAAAAAATAACTATATTAGGATCCTAAATCAAATTTCAAGCGCGTGCTCTTGGTTTTGGTTTTCTGGATTTAACAAAGTTAGAAAGGAGTGGAAAGATATATTATCTGAGCAAGAAGACAGGTGAACTGTTAATCTGTTATCATATTTAACCACTCTACTAGTCCATGAATGGAAGTATGTAATTCTTCAGTCCAAGTTGCAGGGAGTGAGAGATCAATCTTGCTTACCGGTAAATTGGATCAAGATGCTTCTGGAAGGCATTGTCAAATGCTTTCTGAAAGACACAATCAAATGTTTCGATTGCCCTTTGCTGGGAAATAGCATTCTCTCCACGTATCTACAGTAGACAAACACATAACTATGCAATGAGCTACCAAAAAGATCGTAGTATAAAATGATGGGGAAAATGATTTAGATCGATTCAAGACGACGCTGTGGTGGTGAGACAGATCACGGATGGAGAGATGCAGAGCTGCTCTGCTCACCACTCGACGAAGTCGCTGGTTGTATCTCATCTCCTCCTTGCTGCATCAGGAATGGAAGAACACGCAACAGATTATTCAGAAATTAGACCCATCAACGAATACAGATCAGACAAGAGAGTTGCTCCAGACTCCGGTCCAGTAAAAAATACCTTAAGGTATCGATACCAAATCGTTTCTGATAGTTGGATATAACTGGACATGATGAACATTATTAAATCCAATGATCAAAAACGATTTGGTATTGTCAGGAACCGATACCTCGAAATACTTTTCATTGGACCGGAGTCCATATTGGCGCCCATAAAGAAATCAAGCCAAAGGCGAATGGATCGAGGCCATACACTTGCGCGACGAAGAAGAGGACGAGCATGCCGGAGCGAAGCTGCCGCTTCCCCCGCGGCGACGCCACGCCGCCGCCGCCGCCGGCAGCAGCATCCACATGCGGGCGCTTGGGCGCGGGCACCAGGACAAGCCCAGCTGGTGGCGCCTGTGCCGGCAGCGGACGCTTCGTGTGCATATCGCCGGTGAGCCAATCACACCGGAATCCGGCCGATTGCCGTCGATCGACCGACGCCGGTATACACGTAGTACGCTTCTCCGGTCACCGCGGTTGCTCGCCGTCGCTGTGCTTGCGCTCTACACTGCTGTGGCTGCGCTCCGAGCTCGCTTTATGGAGGGAAGTGGACTTGGGAGTCAAGTCGACTCCACACTCCACCCCGCGCAACTCACGCGGTGACACGGCAAACGAGAAAAATAGTACAGGAGTAGTATAATTTTTCTGACAAATAGTGGAGTAGCAAACAAAAGTGAAAATGAAACCTTGTGATCTCCTACTACCTAATCCTCTCAAACGCATATGATTTGCAATTCAGCCAAAAAATGGGCTCCGCAAAGTCTCCGCTAGAAAAGCTCCGCGAAAAAATAAATCAGGGAAGTACTTCATTTGGCCACCTCAAATCCTCAATTATCATTAGTATCATTGTGTTTCAGTATTGCCTTCCCAAATCCACTTGCTTGAACCGCGTTGTTTTGGTTAATGATGCTGGCATGCTGCATTTGTAGGATAAGTATGCAATGCAATGCCACGGATGCATGTGCCACAGGTCACTTGTGGTTGACCTCTGAAGATGTGGCCCAACCAAAGTCAACGGTAGTTCTTGGTCCAGCCCAAATAAGTCACCCGTCAACCGAATGGGCCAGCAGATATCAATGCCCACTAGCCCACTATGCCAATTGCTACAGTATCGTTTGATACTACTACTACTATCCCTCGATACACAAGTCAACAATAGTCAACACAGTTATGCAATACATCATAGTTTTTGACAACTAGCTAATCCATTGCTGAAACACTGTAGCTGTACTTTATACACTGCTAAGATCCATCAAGGAAGAGGCATTCGCAAAAGTCTCGTTATTTCGCTACTCGTAGTACACTGAGGGAACACACAATGCAGTTCGTAGTATATCATGTAGCAGTTTCATGACTACAAGATGGCTGACAACCATTTTGTAGTCGAACAGGCTCATGAGATACAAACCATGGCTAAGTAACTCGAACTCCTTAAGTGTGTCTTACCCGATAAATTTATGGCCGGGTGCATTATTGCGAAACTACCTCCATCATGGAGAAGTTTTGGTACTGCACTTAAACACAAGAGACATGAATTCCCCGTTGAGGGGTTGATAGCGTCCCTTGATGTTGAGGAGAAAGCTCGGGAAAAAGACGCCGCGTCTGAGGGCGATGGTGGGCAGTCCAGTGCCAATGTTGTGCACAAGGCCCAGAACAAGAGCAAGGGGAAATACAAAGCTCAACAGACCACCAACTTCAAGAGGCAGAGAAGAACAACAACAATCCTAACCAGGATGAGAGGACTTGCTTTGTGTGTGGGCAACCTGGTCATCTGGCTAGGAAGTGTCCACAGCGCAAGGGGATGAAGGCACCTGCAGGGCAGACTTCTAAGTTTGCTAATGTGACCATTGGCAACACTAGAGATGGAAGCGGGTATGGTAATTTACCTACTGTTTTTTCAGTTAATCAGTCTACTAATTGGTGGGTTGATACTGAGGCCAATGTACATGTTTGTGCTGACATCTCATTGTTTTCTTCTTATCAGGTCGCACGGGGTTCCACTGTCCTAATGGGGAATGGGTCACATGCTTCTGTTCATGGTGTTGGCACGGTAGATCTGAAGTTTACTTCGGGAAAGATCGTGCAGCTGAAGAACGTGCAGCATGTCCCTTCTATCGACAGGAATCATGTTAGTGGCTCCCGTCTGACTAGAGACGGATTTAAGTTGGTTTTTGAGTCTAATAAAGTAGTCGTGTGTAAACATGGATATTTTATTGGTAAAGGTTATGAGTGCGGAGGCCTGTTCCGCTTTTCCCTTTCTGATTTCTGCAATAAGTCTGTGAACCATATTTGTGGCAGTGTGGATAATGAGGCTAATGTTTGGCACTCACGTTTATGTCATATTAATTTTGGTTTGATGTCTCGGCTTTCCAGCATGTGTTTAATTCCTAAGTTTTCCATTGTCAAAGGTTCTAAGTGCCATAGTTGTGTGCAATCGAAGCAACCTCGCAAGCCTCACAAGGCTGCCGAGGAGAGAAACTTGGCACCACTAGAACTCCTACATTCAGATCTTTGTGAAATGAATGGGGTGTTGACGAAGGGTGGAAAACGATATTTCATGACGTTGATTGATGATGCTACTAGATATTGCTATGTGTACTTGTTGAAAACGAAAGACGAGGCTCTAGACTATTTTAAAATTTATAAGGCAGAAGTTGAAAATTAACTTGACAGAAAGATAAAAAGGCTTAGGTCTGATCGTGGTGAAGAGTTTTTCTCGAACGAGTTTGACTTATTCTGTGAGGAACATGGCATCATACATGAGAGGACGCCTCCCTATTCTCCCGAGTCTAATGGGATTGCTGAAAGGAAGAACCGCACACTGACTGACTTGGTGAATGCCATGTTGGACACCGCGGGACTACCTAAGGCATGGTGGGGGGAGGCATTGTTGACCTCGAATCATGTATTAAACAGAGTTCCTAACAGAAATAAGGACAAAACACCATATGAGATATGGATTGGGAGAAAACCATCACTTTCTTATTTGCGCACATGGGGGTGCTTGGCGAAAGTCAATGTACCAATAACGCAGAAGCGCAAACTTGGACCTAAGACTGTGGACTGTGTCTTTCTGGGATATGCTCATCACAGCATTGCCTATAGATTTTTAATAGTTAAATCCGAGGTACCTGACATGCATGTTGGTACAATTATGGAGTCCCTTGATGCTACCTTCTTTGAGAGCTTTTTCCCAATGAAGGATACACATAGTGGTTCGAGCCAACCCTCTGAAATAATTCCCAGTTCAATCACACCACCAGAACAAATTGAACATACACATGAACATGTCTCTGAGGAGGATGTCTGTGAAGCTCCTCGAAGGAGTAAGAGACAAAGGACGGCTAAGTCCTTTGGTGATGATTTCACTGTGTACCTCGTGGATGACACTCCTAAGTCAATTTCAGAAGCATATGCATCTCCTGATGCAGACTACTGGAAGGAGGCTGTCCGTAGTGAAATGGATTCCATTATCGCTAACGGGACTTGGGAGGTGACAGAGCGACCCTATGGGTGTGAACCTGTGGGGTGCAAGTGGGTGTTCAAGAAGAAGCTTAGGCCTGACGGTACTATTGAAAAGTACAAGGCTCGGCTTGTTGCTAAGGGCTATACTCAGAAAGAAGGCGAAGATTTCTTTGACACTTACTCACCTGTTGCTAGATTGACCACAATTCGTGTGCTACTTTCCCTAGCAGCTTCACATGGTCTTCTCGTTCATCAAATGGACGTTAAGACAGCTTTTCTTAATGGAGAGCTGGATGAGGAGATCTATATGGATCAACCTGATGGGTTTGTAGTTGAAGGTCAAGAAGGCAAAGTGTGCAAATTGTTGAAGTCTTTGTATGGTCTGAAACAAGCTCCTAAGCAATGGCATGAGAAATTTGACAAAACATTGACATCTGCAGGCTTTGCAGTCAATGAGGCAGATAAATGTGTGTACTATCGCCATGGTGGGGGTGAGGGAGTTATTCTGTGCTTGTATGTTGACGACATACTGATATTTGGGACAAACCTTGAGGTGATAAATGAGGTTAAATCATTCTTGTCTCAAAATTTTGATATGAAAGATTTGGGAGTAGCTGATGTTATCTTAAACATTAAGCTAATTAGAGGTGAGAATGGGATTACACTCTTGCAGTCCCATTATGTGGAGAAGATCTTGAATCGCTTTGGCTACATTGATAGTAAGCCTTCTCCAACACCTTATGATCCTAGCTTGTTGCTTCGCAAGAACAAAAGAATTGCTAGGAATCAACTGGAATACTCCCAAATCATTGGCTCGCTGATGTACCTGGCTAGTGCAACTAGGCCTAATATCTCCTTTGCTGTGAGCAAGTTGAGCCGGTTTACCTCTAATCCGGGAGATGATCACTGGCGTGCGCTTGAGCGAATAATGCGCTATCTGAAAGGTACTATGGAATTGGGGCTTCACTATATTGGGTATCCTGCGGTACTGGAGGGTTATAGTGATTCTAACTGGATCTCTAATGTGGATGAGATCAAAGCCACTAGTGGATATATCTTCACATTGGGTGGTGGTGCTGTTTCGTGGAGGTCTTGCAAACAGACCATTTTGACGAGTTCAACCATGGAAGCAGAACTGACGGCACTAGATACTGCTACTGTTGAGGCAGAATGGCTGTGTGATCTATTAATGGATCTGCCTATTGTTGAAAAAACGGTGCCGGCTATCCTTATGAACTGTGACAATTAAACGGTAATTGTCAAAGTGAATAGTTCTAAGGATAATATGAAATCGTCTAGACATGTGAAAAGACGATTGAAGTCTGTCAGGAAATTGAGAAACTCCGAAGTTATAACGTTGGATTACATCCAAACAGCTAGAAACCTGGCAGATCCCTTCACGAAGGGACTATCACGAAATGTGATAGATAATGCATCGAAGGAGATGGGTTTGAGACCCATGTGAGTTATACCATGGTGGTAACCCAGTCTATGTGATCGGAGATCCCGTGAATTAGAACCTGGGAAGAACAAACCATTAGTAAACTAGAGGAGAGTACCAATTTATACCCTCTCTAAGTGAAGATGCATGTACTCTCGTGAGCTGCAAGGCAGGTTGGCTATGCCTTAATGAGTTATGTTGGCTTTAATTAGCGAAGATGTTGTCCTGCAGAGTAGTCTTGAAAGAACTCACCTTTGTAAGCTTGACTGTTGGTCGCAGTCTATGGAGATTTTGGGTGAATCTTCTAGGAAGCTTACTAAAGACCTAGGAGTATGACTTATACGCTCCACCCGAGGGGTAGTCTACAGACGGTCTAGTACCAGATAAGACTCTGAGTGAAACTTGCTTGCACAAGACTTGCAATTCAAGGCGTAGTCCATTGTTCAAGTTGTGAGTAAGTGTAGCTTGGAGTTCTAGGTGGATGTTCAACCTTAATCGGTCTCCATCGAACCGCTGGTATATAAACAGTACATTAGAAAAGGCAAATCTCATTGGGATTTTGAGATTTGGTGGGGGATTGTTGGAATTAATAGATAGGCTAAGGCCCATTCGAAGATTAATTCTTTGGAAAATCACAAAAGCCCACCTCATGGGATGGCATGCATGTGGAGTTTAGTACCACCTTGCTTATTCTAGGAGAGGGGGACCTCCTTAAAAGGGAGGATGCCCTCCTAACCACTTGAAGCATGTGTGGTGGAGAGAAGAGGGGAAACACACGTGCGCGCTCGCTCGCGTCGCCTCGCCTGGCAGGCGGCGCGTGCACGACGTACGCGTCGAATGGTCCGCAAAATTGGCTCCTCAACATTGCGCAGATATCTCTATATAAACCGAGCCGCCGCCTTCACGCAACACACGCGAAATCAATCTAGAGTTTGCCTCCTACTCTGTACTGCGCCGTCGCTCGTAGACTACTCCATCCCGTGCACCGGCTCATCAATCTAGGGTTTGCCTCCTACTCTGTACTGCGCCGTCGCTCGTAGACTACTCCATCCCGTGCACCGGCGATCGGGAGAGCAGGTCTCCGGAACCTCTGCCTTCGACATCCTGCACCGGCTCGTCTTCCTCTCCGCTCGCGTGCTTCGCGACTTCGTCGACGCTCGCAACCGCGAGTAGTTCCTGCCGAGCAACCGGTCTTTCCGCCACCTCGGTACGCGTTCGACATGTTGCGCATATTTGATCTGTTCATGTTTTACTGCTTAGTTTACATGTGTAGATCTAATGATGCGTTCAATCTAGTTCACATATGCAATGTCATGATTTATTTATGGAATAAATTAAATCATTATGTGCTTATAATTTCAACACGCTGAACGCACAGCAGCGCTATCTGAACCCACCCCTGTATCTCGGCTGCAGAATGAGTCTCTCCGCGCAGCGAAGGGTCGATGAACTCCATCAGGTTTCCTCCTCTCCACAATTCCCACGCCTGAGCAAAGGAAAATTGCTACTGGTTAATCAGTGACCAACTCTGAGTATACTGTGGTTGGCCTGTGAAGTTCAGAGAGGTGTGCACTTACCCACTTATTTAGAGGCCCAAAATCGCGCGATTCATCAGAAAGCTCCAATGTAGACGGAGGGATGCGACTTCCTCTAATGATCTCGAGAAGCGTAGCGCCAAAGCTGTACACATCTGTCTTGAGAGAGACACACCCTCCCTGTTTATATTCAGGGGCCATATATCCACTGAGAAGATGAAAACAAAATTTAAATATCAAGTTATCAACAGATCAAACGTGACGCAGGAGGTGGATGGATAAACATTTTGCAGTGAAAAACTCAGTCTTACCGTGATCCCACCACAATGCCGGTGCAGTCCATATCCTGACCTGGCCTAAGTGCTTTCGATGTACCAAAGTCACAAATCTTGGGTTTCAAGGCAGCATCCAGGAGTATGTTGCCTGGTTTCAGATCGCCATGAATAATACGTGGCTCACATTGCTTGTGTAGATATACAGCTCCATCAGCTATCCCTTTAACTATTTGGGAGCGCTTAGACCAGTCCAAAGGCAACTCTTCTGCTCGCTCACCTGTAATCAAATGCGACAAACATGTATGTACTGCATCATTGAGTGAACATGAACAATAGAATTTGGTCTCGAAACTGAGTAGATAAAGGCATAAAGCTAGTTGAATTGAACCCCCTACCAGTTATGAATGAATCTAAGATTCTGCCTGGCATATACTCGAAGACCAGTATCTTCTCTCTCTCTTGGCTGCAATATCCTAGAAGTTTAACTATATTTGTATGCTGAAGCTTTGAAATTATTTTAGCCTCATTTTCGAGCTGGTCAAATGGAATTCTGTTAACATACGATGCTCTTTTCACAGCAACTTCGGGCATTTCATTTAGTTGGCCCTGGAAGAAGTAAACACCAAATGCAAATCGATCATGATACTTACAGAAAAAAACAAAATCTAATATTTTTCTGAGTACAAGAGAAGATGTTTCAAACGACTTCACTGCCTAAACATTAACCATTCTGTTGAATGCAAAGGTCGGCCAAGAGCAAAGCATTACCTTGTACACGATGCTGAAAGCACCTATACCGATTTGTTTTTCCAGAGAGAAATTATCTGTAGCAACCTCCAACTCAGACAAAGTGAACTTTTTAAGGCCTGTTATTTTAAGTAACATGGAAAATTGATTATTACCTTCAAACTTCGTGTCAGCATTACAAAGGGAATTGGAAAAGAAGGCCTTGTTTTACATGCTAATTTTGGGAATATTATAAATCATTCACTATTACTCCTACCTGTTTCTTCTAGAGCAACAGGCTTTCCAGCGTTGGAAGCTGTAGCATCCTGAAATACCAAAGTTAGGCTCAAGTGAGTAATTAAGCAGGCATTTGTCCACTTACATACATTACCTCTCATATTGTTAGAACAAACTTCAGAATCATGAAATGGAGGTTTTAGCAGTTTGCACAGAAATTAATTAGCAAAAAGAATTAGCTCTTAATGAGATGTTGTAGGTATGCAGGTACGTACCTGCGGCTTAACAACATCAGTCTCCGGGATATAATAGTAACGAGTGTTTTGATCGTGGTTGATGATGGTGATCATTCCTATCAGGTGGAGGATGTAAAACTTGAGATCCTTGAGTACCTTGCGCAGCTCTCTGGCGATGCGTCCGCCCTTGCAGAAACGGTACGCATAGCTCCACTCCTCCTGACAGGATTTAACGATTGCACCTGCCCTGCAAAGTGTCGACTTGAGCCCTTCTGTGGGCTTCCACATGTCAGGGTCCTCGATGACCTTGGATGCCTGAACCCGCCGTAGCAGATCAAGGATCATGTCCGCGCGTTCGGCGAGCAGCTCGCAGTCCTCCTTGTTCTGGCGGACTGTCTCGACGCGACTCTTGATTACCTTGACAAGCGTGATGACGTCCAGGCCAGCCAGCTGCGCTACATTCGCAGCCAGCCCCAGGCAGCAACACACCTCTATAACCATACCTGATTAATTTCCTGCATGCCAATATACCACGATCATGATTCATGTGTGAACAGAACAAGAAGGTCCTGTCAGATTACAGAACATGTAAATCATATCCTAGCTAGATACGTATTATATGTATACGAATGACAGTGCATAACTACATATTACATTACATCATCACATATGGATCAAAAAAGAAAACTCAAGCCTTAATTTCTAGCTAGCTCAACTTCTTTTTGCCACTCCAACTTACTTTGACAAGCCTTTGATCAGTTTACTCTAGCAGCAGCAACTTAGGAAGGATGAAGGATATTTGATGATCCACTCACCTCAGCCAACGCTGGTTTCAGCATTATATAGATGAGGTGTTGATCCGAGGAAGGGGGACCTAAAAAAACAAAGACCTGGCATCAAGACTATCAAGGTCCAGGTCTTGTATAAAACGAGAGAGAAGAAGAATTAAGTGAATTAACTTGCCTTGTGGATTATTTTAATTAACTAGTTTTGGAGCCAGTCCAGCTGAAACGACATGCAGACATCAATTAGCAGCTCCAATTTCTTCTTGTGATGTGTTAACACACGTAGAATAAAATTTATTTGATAGAATTTTGATCACTCTGACCTTGATATCTCAACTAACGCCATATGATATGATGAATCCTAGTTGTTTCCCACCGGAACAGGTTAAAGAATTTTGTTTGTTCAGTTTGTTCCCTGATATCTGGTTGTTGCTTCATTTCTCAGGCCTGCAGCTTCTCAGCAGGTCACCAATTATCTGCCACATGGATGACAGGCTGCTTGAAGGTCTGAACTGCCCGCACAATCATCGCAAGTTCACAACAAGAAAAAATATATACTGATGTGTTGATGAACTAGGACCAAAAGAAAAACCTTGCCATCAAGAGTTCAAGACTATCCAGGTCCAGGCCCCCATTGTCTTTGTCTTTAAAAAAAAATAAAAGAAAAAGGAGCAGGAATAAGAAGATTGAAAAAGTGGTAAGCTAAATGACACTTTGAGGTGATGCCAACAATGCACCCACTAATTAATGTCTTGCACTCCTGCTAGTTCATGCTTGAACTACTTATAAGTATATATTAAATCTCCATGGGAGGGGCTGCCTTTTGGGAGACACGTATAGTTTTAAGTTAACTTCATGGGAAAGATTCCATGTTCATGCATTTGAGGGAAGAAGTTACCTGAGAAAGTAGATACAACAGCCGCATTTGACTTGATTTTAGGATCATCAGCATCTTTAACCGCTAGATTTCAGTTACAGGGAGAACTCTGTATTCCCATATTGTTGACAGAGATCTAGTAAAATGACCTTGTTGACTGCAATCGTGCAGCATCATCAAACTTGTGTGAAATCCAGTACTCCGATCCCACCACATCCAAAGCAAGAACTGCCTACCTGTGCTGTCTGCCGCATTTGCACGAACACCTTCCGCTCGTGTCCCATATGCACACAGAAAAGGCGGCGGGCCAGATCCTTTTTCTCCAAAAAGAACATCCACATCCTTGCTTCGCGGGGAAGAGACCGCGCGCTTACGGACAATTCCACAAACACCTCGTGCTGACGAGGGGTAGACACCGCCACCGCACCACCAGGGCGCGCGGCTCCTCCACCTTCCCGGCGATCCTCGAAAGTAGGAGTAGGAAAGCTAAATCATACGGAAACCTCAAGGGCGTTGCCATGGTGGAAGCAGATTGGCTCCTGAAGAAGGAAAAATGGGGAACATTTTGGCTGTTCGGCGGGCGGCGAGCTCCAGTCGCCGCCGGCGACCATCCCGGCAGCTATGAACTCTCTCTCTCTCTCTCTCTCTCTCTCTCTGTGCGAATGAATTACACGTGCCCATGATTTACACTAACCAAGGAAAACGAACGGTTGGGCTCCAGAGAGGAGGCCCAGTTGTGCGAGCCCAAACAAAAGATACGGCCCACTAGAGACTCAAAATCGATTTGATACAGTAACCGTTACAAACAAACTATCGTTGCTCTGTACAAAATTCAAAAATATGAAGGCTCTGACATGGTGTCCGGATCCCCTGGAGTTCACTACAACTCCATCGGGTGAATTTGATAAAATCTTTACGGTCTATTTTTTTATCAACAGTTGGGATGAAGCCATTAGTTCCCACTTCCCACTAGTCTTTTTTGAAAAAGAAAAATAAGTCCTCATAATCTTGTAACAATAACAAATCACCGACTACAATATATATATTTAGAGAATCTGAGAATATAAATTTTACTTGCATAACCCAAATTTTTTGATTCATCCATGGTATAAAGACCGTACTGAGCATGTGCCTCTATTTTTGCATGTATATGGTTTATGTATGTTTGCATGTACCATGTGGTTAATTAACACTTTTTTTCTGTACATGAACGTAGCTTCTTGTGTTTGGGAAAGAAGATAACGTGTATACTTTGTTACTTTGGTAGGCATAAACTTAACCATTACTAACATGAAAAAAATAAAGTAATTCCCATTCAAACCATAGGAAGAATAGATGGCTTCATCTCAGCCGTAGGAAGCAATAGATGTCACAGATTTAGTAAAATTCACCCGGTGGAGTTGTACTCAACTCTAGGGGATCTGGACCCCTCTGACATGTGTCTCTAGTTCGAACATCAGTTTCGCTTATACTCCCTCCGTCAGGAAAAAAAGACACCTCTCCTAGTACAATGAATCTCCAGATTTGTTAATTAGGAGGGGATGATTTTTTTTTACGGAGAGAGTACATGTTAATTAAAGAGAAAATCCCCTATGTACCCATGAAAGTTCACCTAATCCCTTCTATGAATTTTGCTCAATCCCTTACATACCCCTGAATTTTAGTTTGGATCCCTTCCATGCCCTTTCCGCTAGTTGACCGTTAGTTGACCGTTAAATTCTTTTGAAAAAGTCCATTTTTCCCTTTGCTATGAAAAAACATAATAAATTAATTAAGTATATTGTTGGAATGTAAAAATTTATTGGATGAGACTATTATATTTATGAGTATGTGATGCACCATATTATTTGTGACAAATTTACTTTTACATATGATATAAAAAGTTAATACTTATTTATTAGTTATTAAAAGTTCTTTTACGTAGCATATGTATTTTCATAGTAATACAACAGATTTGTTTATTACTATCAGAATACATATGCTAAAAAATATTTTAATAACTAATAAATAAGTATTAATTTTTTATGTCATATCTAAAATTATATTTCTCGCAAATAATATGGTGCATAACTATCTCATAAACATAATAGTTTCATATAACAAATTTCTATACTTCAACAATATACTCTATTAATTTATATATATGCTTCTTTATACCAAAGGCAAAATGGACTTTTTCATAAGAATTTAACGGTCAACTAACGGTCAACTAGCGGAAAGGGCATGGAAGGGATCCAAACTAAAATTCAGGGGTATGTAAGGGATTGAGCAAAATTCAGGGGTACAGAAGGGATTAGGTGAACTTTCAGGGGTACACAAGATATTTTCTCTTAATTAAAATATAAACATAACTGTTTTGTATTACGAGATTATTATTTTTTGTTTTTTAGTGGAACTATACTGATCCTTTAGATGATCTAAAGAAGCCTGCTTACAATCATCCTCAACGAACGATCGTATAAAATCCGGGGGAACCGAGATACCTTCTTTAGTTAGCCTATGAGCTAGTACTGTATTTGCCGAATGCTGAAACCAAACCACCTTAGCCGCCAAAAAGTTGTTTAGCATCCCTTTCCATTCATATACCAACGGACTGTAGACCGAACAATTGAACTCTAATTGAGAAATCATCTTCGAACCTCCAGCGAGTCGGTTTCTACAAGCACTTTGGACATCCCAAGTTCCCCAACCAATTCCAACACCAGATTGTATTATTTTTTGTTGAAACCTATCTTTGAGGAGCAATGCTCCGGTGCTTTCTACTGTTAGTATTATACTACGAGTAGAACTAATCTGAACCGTTTATTTTTAAGGGTAGATTAGTAAAGTTCTGAGATAGATTTGGGATAAATTTGGCACTTAATTTATTTCTCGTCGTGGATCGCTCGGATGTTTCAGGAAAAGCAGCGCTGCCACCGCTTCCTCATCCATCGCATTCGAGCGGAGGTGGAGAGAGCGACTCCTTCCGCTGCCGGCGCTTGTGCATCACGTTCCCTTCCGCCGGCGGCAATACTCTCCGGCGCCCCCTCTTGTTCTGTTCCCTTCTCTGCCGGCGTCCGCTTCCCCGCCGCAGGAGCTTCTGGCGCCGCCCTGATGACTTCCGGCGTGCGCACAGGGGCGGCGGTGCAGAGGAGCCCCGCGTGGTTCTACCTCCTCTCGCGCGACGCCGCCGGCGGCGGCGGCAACTGCGACGACAGCTACAGGCGTGCGTGGAGCCGGCTGTTGAGGAGGCTGGTGCGGGAGAGTAGGAGTTTCTGTAGCCTCAGCATCAGCAGGCACGGTAATGTTAATTTTCGTGGATGACTTCACCAGAATCAAGAATCTGATTCTGAATCTGAATAAGAATTTAATTTGGACATGGACAGTATGCTCTATTGCTATACCAGAATCAAGAACCTGAATTTGCTATGAAAAGAAGTAGCTCAACTTCCGTGAGCCTGGTCCATTAAATTTGTGCTTTGCTTCCTCTTTACCCGAGCTAATGTAACGTGAATAGGCCCATCTCGCTGGAATTCTGCGTGAAACCCATTCCAGCGATCCAGTTCATGAAGCTTCCCCTTGCGAGTCGTCGCGGTGGCGAGCGGGTGGCGGTGGCGACATGGATGGCCAGCAGGAGGAGCAGCACGCGGGGCGGCGCCAGCTGGAGCCCGGGAAAGACGAAAATATCCCTCTGCAAATAATTTTTTATGGACAAAAATATCCCTCTACAATTCTACTACCATTAAGTGTGATGGTAGTAGAAATAGATCTGAACCCTATGATCAAATGAGATCAACGGTTCAGATTATTTTCTACTACAAGTAGAAGGCACCGGAGTGGATCTCATCTTTGAGATGATTGATTGAAATACCTTTTTTGCCGGGCCGGCGAAAAGCCGGCCAATATATATTAAGAGATACCAGTCCAGACAAAAGGTAATACACTCAGTCAGTGTAGAGTTTCTGGGAACGTATTAGAGTGCAGCCGATAATCCAAGATGTGCGGCTACTTCATCAAATAAAACCCTCTCTAATTGTCCCTGAGCTTCACCATCACGTCTTCTTCTTGCTATGTATGTGGGTGATCTGGAATCATCGGCATGACGTTGTATTCAGGGGACAAACTCCATCGATTCGATCCTGCCTACATCGATGCATCAATGAGGCAGCTCTCTGGGCAGAGAAATTAAAAATTGAGGATAGACATGTAATCTCTGTTTGGAAAAACATTTTCTCCTCCCCCTTAAGATCTCTAAACCTGTTGTAATGAACTTTTTCACTCCTTTCATGCAACGACAAAATTCAGGTGGGGAAGCTCTCCCCCTCCGGTGATTTAGTAAAAAAAAAAAACACTCAAGTCAGTCAGTCGTCCAAAAGAGGTCCTACACATACGCTGACCTTTTTGAAACTAGGTAGAAATCATAAATCCTTTTTGTGTGTGCACGTTGTTCACACATGACATGAGAGACCAGGCATCCAGGGCTCCTGATTCCAGAAGCCTTTGCCGTGTTCATTTCGGCTTGACATTTCAACAAAGCCTGTACTCGTGCCGACGGATGCCATCGGAACCCACCCCCAAACTGCACAAGAGAGTTTTTTGCACCACATGTCAGTAAAAATTGGAAGAGAAAAAGGGATATCGACATGTACGACGCATTCTTGGCTTCTTACCAGTGGAAAATTACACGAAGAAGTCTGAGAAGATAAGCCAACCGTTGAACCAAAGCGTGTCTCCTCCAATCCAATATGTCCTTACCAGGATGTAGTTGACGACTTATCATGCTAGTCTGAAATTTGTTAACTCAAGACAAAAGGGCTTCGACGAGACGGAGCTCCCGCCGAGAGACTCCACGCCTCGACACAGGTAGGGCTCCCACCATTGGTCGTGGCATCGCGACAGTCGACAAACACGTCCCACTCAGGATTCAGATCGGGTGACATAGGGTAGACACGCGGTGACATAGGGTGGATATTGGCCCTCTAAAACAAATCCAACGGCTGAGATTCATCTACATCAACACGAGTTAATATTTAACTCCAGTAAATTTTTAACTCCTGAAAGTAAAATTTTAACTCCTGAAATTTTACTCCCAGTAAAATTTTAACTTCTGCGAGACGTGGATGAATTTCACCCATTGGTTTTGTTTTGGAGGGCCAAGATTCACTCTATGCCTACCCTATGTCACCCAATCTAAATCCCCCGCTCAACCCTATCCCGCCCTTGCGCCGACACCACTGCTTCGCGGACAACGCAGGGGGGGTGAATTTCGTCGAGTATTCATAAAATGGATGCAATATTCATGCTGGCAGGCCAGAGGAGGGCCGATGCCCGAAGTATCCGGTAGAGTTTTACCTTGAACTTAATTAATTAATTAAAAGATATAAGAATCCTCTAGAGTCAATTTCTCCTAAGTTGTTGTCCTTGATCGAATCTTGATCGTTGATGATACACACACGTTCCTTGTGTTCGATACCCTTGGAAACTCTAATGGGAAGTGCAACAATGGTATTACGTGCGTGATTGTAAGAAATACCAACACTGCCCTGCGTGTTGTTGCCGCCATCAACACCGCCATCGCTCTCCCTTCCACATTCGAAGCTGTCGGGCATCTCCTCGCCGAGGCCGGTGACGGCAGCCGATGCGCCGTGGTCTCTCCCACCGCAATCGCTGCCGCCGCC